GGTACATTCCCACCAACTGTTCACATCCATGCACTAGTGAATGGCAGTCACTGCACTAACCGGAGCTCTCAATTATCTTAAAATCTTTGTTCATTAATATCAGTGTCTGGATGTCATGTGGATCTGTATTTTCCATTTATTTTTCCATAGTGTTTAATCATGGAATGTCATTTCCTCCTATGCCTGGTAATTTGATTGAAAGCCAAAATTTTATGTAAAAGTTCATAGAGCTAATTTGAGTTTCTAGATGAGCTATCTGGCAGGCAGTGGTGGCCAAAGCATAATCAATCTGTTATTTAGCTACTTCAAAGCATATTTAGGCTTTGTGAAGTCTGTGCTTTGTTAAATGTCACTGCTATCATTGGAATGTTTGTGTCCCCCAAGAGTCATACACTGAAATCCTAACTCAACAGGTGCTAATAATAGGAGGCACCTATTAATAACTTATATATAAGGCACCTAATAACTTTGGGAAGTTATTAGATCATGGTGGCAGAGATATCATGAGTGGCATTAGAGTCCTCAAAAAAGACCCCAGAAAGGTCTCTGCCCCCTTCCACCATGTGAGAACATGGTGAAAACATGGCTGTCAATGAGTCCTTCACGAAACCCTGGATCTGCTAGTGTCCTTGATCTTGCACTTGCCAGCCTCCAGAACCTTAAGAAATAAATTTCTGTTGTCTATAAGCTTCCCAGCCTAAGGAACAGCCTGAACAGCAGTCACACTTATTTCAAAGGTTTAGTCTTCCAGAATATCAAGTAAAAGGAAGCCTTGAATGTATAGTAGGTCCCTGGACTCCAGTTTCTGGCCCCATAGCCTCCTGAGTTTTGCTCCACTTTTAACCATCTCAGGAGTCACTTAGACTAGGTAAGTGCTTTGGTAAGAAAAGTGATACCAAATATTAGTTTAATTTTACCCTTCTCTTCTTTTGGCTTTTTCTCTCCTTGAGTACCTCTGTAAGGCTCTTTTACAGGCATTTTCTGAGTTGTTGGTCTGTAACACCTAGTTCCATGTCTGTAATTTCAAATTTCCTGAAAGACGCCTTCTTTAAACCTAGAGTTTTTATTTTTCACACTTCTAAATCTCTTTTATCATTTCATAATTGATAAGACCTAAAATGATACTTATTTTTTACCTAAATCTTTTAAAATATAAAATGCTTATCTTTCCCATTTGAATGATAATATCTGGAAGGTAAAATTTAAATTCTACATTTCTTATGTTCTCTGAAGTGATGAATGATTGATTCCATAGAAATATTGGTGGTGTGATAGGTAGGAGAAGTAGTGAGGTAAGCATTCAAAAGATTAGTTTCCACCAGGCGTGGTGGCTCACATCTATAATTCTAGTCCTCTGAAAGGCCAAGGTGTGTGGACTGCCTGAGCTCAGTTCAACACCAGCCTGAGCAAGAGCAAGACCCTGTCTCTGCATCTTACAAGGGTACAGGTGAAATTTACTAGGTGTAGAATATAAATGTCTTAACACAATAACTAAGAAAATGTCCTGAAGGCTATGTTGACCAGTTTGATGAAAGCATTTCAGAATGTTTGTAAAACCAGCACATTGTACCCCATGATTGCATTAATGTACACAGCTATGATTTAATAAAATAAAATAAAATAGCCTGGCATTATGGTGGGTACTTGTGGTCCCAGCTACTTGGGAGACGAGGCAAGAGGATCACATGAGCCCAAGAGTTTGAGGTTGCCATGAGCTATGGTGCCACAGCACTATATCCAGGAAAAGAAAGTGAGATTCAATCTCAAAAAAGAAAAAAATAATTAGTTTCTATTTGCAGTCCCAACCTGGTAAGTTCCTTAACATCTCTTACCCAGAATTTCTACTCTTAGAAATCTAAGCTACATGTGCCCATAAGGAAATGAAAGCAAATATAGTCCACTGATCAGGTCTGCACAATACTAATTTGTTGTAATTTTATTTATCTCTGAAGGATTTTACTGATACCCAATGCATTTATATAAATATGTGCATGTGTGTCTATCATGCTCCTTTACAATAAACAATTTGTCTGTGTCAATGAACGTGTATTTGCATTTTCTCCAAATGTTGAGTTTTCAGTCTATGAGAGCTTGATGAGGCACATTCTGCTGAAAATCCCAGCCAAAATTCTAAATGCCCCCGCCAAGACTATTCTACCATTTTATGCAGTGTGGAATATGTTTTGCAACAAGTGTTTACGCAGCTGTGCCCTCTTTTTCTGCCATTTACTTTTTGTCAGGCAAACAATATTGATGCTACAAGATATCTAGAGTATGTGAGTGATAATGTGGGATCTCTTTCAAAGTAAAGAAAGGAAGTTCATCAGAGTAGATGTCAAAATGGAAGATTTATTTGGCTTGAGCTGCCTTCTGGGAAATAATAGAGAATATTGAAGGGTAAAGACTATCAGAAGATTTGAAATTTGTGTAAGTCCTCTGACAAATGAGGAGCATCATAAAAATCACTGCATTGTAGAATCTGTTAATACGGTAGCAAAAAATAAAAACAAAATTAAAATATCAATGATGCTGAATTATGGGCTCCCTAAAGACCAGGAGCCATGCCCTATAAAATTCATTTGTGTACCACAATATTATCTAGTTAAGTGCTTTGTTTGTAATCCAAGATCATAGGCCATTTGGTGAATTGAGTTGAAGTGACTGTATTGTGATCAGATATTTAAATTACTTATTCTTATGCCTGAAATTTCTCTCGAGAAAATCAGCAGAAAAATCCGAAGCAATCATTATCCTTGAGTAATACAAAAAGTCATGTAAAAAAACCACCCACCTTTAAAATAGATATACTTATATGTTAAAATAAACACACTGCATGACAAAAATTAAATTAAATTAAATTAAATTAAAAATCACTGAAGCCTAACCAAATATTATATGGAAGGTGTCTGAGAGAAACTAGGGCAGAAGACCAGTCATGATCATAGAGGATGTGAAGAGAAGAAATAACAATTGCTAACACATGGAACTAGAACACCTCTCCATGAGCCTAGGCTACCAAGTTTTATTAGTGCTCAGTAGCACTGATTCTTCTGGTGCTTCTGTTTTAATGTATGCTTCTCGATGTGCCAAATTTTCACAGCTTGCGTGTATGGGGATGTTCACCACCCAAAAGAAAGCTTTAGTTAACAATGGCAATCACTAGAAACAAAAACTAGCACTTATATATGTTTATATTAGCAAATATCATATTTTAAGTAACAAAAACAATTTCTTGACAAATACGGTGACTTGCATTCTTTTAGAACCCTAGAACTATGTAGCTGCATCTATTAATATATTTACATTTATATATACACATATATGTGTCATGAAAAAGTTCTAGAAAACTAAATACTGTTACGGACTGAATGTTTGTGTCCCTCAAAAATTCATATGCTTCAAACCTAACCCCCAAAGTCATGGCATTAGGTGGCAGAACCTTTGGGAGGTGATTAGGTGATGAAGGTGGAGCTGCCACAAATGGGATTAGTGCCCTTATTACAGAGGCCCCAGAGAGCTCCTCCATGTGAGGATACAATGAAAAACCAGGTGTCTTCAGCATAGAAGACAGCCCTTACTTATCAGAACCCCAACCATGCTGGCACCCTGATCTCTGACCTCTAGCCTCCAGTGTGAAATAAATGTCATTTAAGCCAGTCAGTCTATTAACATTCTGTTCTAACAGCTCCAAATGACCCTTATGTCAAAGGAAAGGGAGTAGATGGTGGTGAGGAAGGTGAGAAAAATAATATTAAATTTTTACAGGCAATTCATAGGCAATTTTAAATGCAAGTTCATAAGCATTATTTGAATGTAACAGTTTATATTTAAATATAGACATACATAAAATAAAAGGTCATGATATCTATTGTTCATCAATTTGTGGCTTATGGAACCATCCAATATTAATTCAAATTTTACTTTACTCTTCTCATCATAATAACTAATGTTCTAAAATTCAAAAAATAAATGTAATAATAATTATAACATTTTATTTATTGCCATAGCTTTGACAACACATGTCAAAAGGCACATTTATTTAGACTATCCAGGCAGTATTATTGCTAAGCTTGATGGTATTGTCTTATGCTCCTACCATCTGAAACCTGCTCCTCTGACTCACTTCCTGAAGAGCAAGCAAATTCTTGTCAAAGAAGAAAAAGAAAAGTGAAGCTCCATTGAAGATAACACTTGTTTGTTTTTATTAAATCCACAGGATTTTTATGCCAGAAAATGTACATAAAAGCCACATTGTTCATATATTGCTAAACCTTTTATAGAATTATATTCCCTTGTGTAATATGAGCTAGTTTAAAAAAAAAGAAAACCTTTCTGTGTTTATTTCTGTGATATAAAATTACTTCCTACAAACTTGACCTTAGATACACATCCTGCGTTTGTCTCTCCTTTTTTTTTCAAAAATGTGAAAATGAGGGCAAATGTAATTTTTCTAAAGTATCAAAGGGAGATAGAGAAAAGGGTGGTTTTCACAGTGTGGTATATTAACAGTGGCAAAAACTGAATGCCAGCAGCAGGTAAAGTCTATGGCCACTGGAGAATCATTACAAAAACAGCATCATCACAAAAGATGGTTCAGTTGTTTCAAGTCATATTGAAACCACCAATAACATGACACATTTCTTCAATCTAAAAAGATAAAGGAGATATTAAAAATCATTGAATATCAAAAATTATTGTTTCCTTTAATGTGTTAAAATTTGCTTTCCCAGATTTGATGATGAGCTTCCTACTCACTGAGAGAATATTCACCTAGAAATGGCCAGAGCTGTGAAGTCCCCCACTAATCATCATTTCACTCTCCCACCTCCCCCCCAAATCAGTATTCACTAGTTAAGAATTATAACCAGGTCCAGCGCCTGCTCAGCCAGGAATTCTATTAACCCTGTGTAAAGAGAATGGAGATTGCCTCTATCCATGTGTATTCATAAGCCATCTTGAAGTGAGCCTTGGAACCAAGAAAACGAAAGACAGCCTTGGACCATTCATGCATATTCAGCCATCAACTTCACAGGATGGCAGCCATAGATTTGTCCCATGGATTCAGTGACCTTTGATGATCTAGCTGTGGACTTCACCCCAGAGGAGCGGACTTTACTGGACCCAATTCAGAGAAATCTCTACAGAGATGTGATGCTGGAGAACTACAAGAATTTCGCCATAGTAGGATGTCAGCTCTTCAAACCTAGTCTGATCTCTTGGTTGGAACAATCAGAGTCAAGGACTGCACAGAGAGTTCTTCATGAATGGAAAGTGCAACTTAAAACTAAAGAGTTGGCACCTCAGCAGGATTTTTTGTGGGGACCAGCCTCCAATGGGATACTAGTGGCAGGAAGCCACAGTGGAGGGGAGCTTAGCAACAAGCAATGTAGAGACATCTTCAGTGAACACTCATGCCTTAAAACACATGTGAGAACTGAAAATAATGAAAATGTATCTGAATGTAATGAGTATGGATTAGACTTTATTACTCTGCATAAGAAAACCTCTACTGGAGAGAAACTTTCTGTGTTGAATCAAAGTGGAAAAGCCTTCAGCCCTACCCCAGATGTCTTCACACAAGATAAATCTTTTGAATGCAGTGACTATGGGAAATCCTTTATTAATCAGTCATACTTTCAGGCACAGAAGGAAACTAACAATGGAGAAAAATTTCATGAATGGAAGGAATGTGGAATTTATTCCACAAACTTTGCTGTGCATATGCAAAATCACAATTCAGAAAAACCTTACAAATGTAAGGAATGTGGAAAAGGCTTTAGATATTCTGCATATCTTAATATTCACATGGGAGCTCACACTGGAGACAACCCCTATGAATGTAAGGAATGTGGGAAAACCTTCACTAGGACTTGTCAACTTACTCAGCATAGAAAATCTCACACTGGAGAGAAGCCTTATAAATGTGAGGAATGTGGGAGAGCCTTCACTGTTTCCTCATGCTTAAGTCAACATATGAAAATCCACATGGGGGAGAATCCCTGTGAATGTAAAGAATGTGGGACAGTTTTCACTAAGTCTTCTCAACTTACAGAACATATAAAAACTCATACCATGGAGAATCCCTTTGAATGTAAAGTATGTGGGAAATCCTTTAGAAATTTCACACGCCTTAATGATCACTACCGAATTCACACTGGAATAAAACCCTATAAGTGTAAGGACTGTGGGAAAGCTTTCACTCAGAACTCAGACCTTACTAAACATGTACGAACTCACAATGGAAAGAAGCCCTATGAATGTAATGAATGTGGGAAAACCTTTGCTAGATCCTCTCGCCTTAGTGAACATCTAAGAACTCACACTGGAGAGAAGCCTTTTGAATGTGTCAAATGTGGGAAAGCATTTGCAATTTCCTCAAATCTTAGTGGACATTTGAAAATTCACACTGGGGAGAAACCCTTTGAGTGCCCAGAATGTGGAAAAGCATTTACACATTCCTCCAGTCTTAAGAATCACATGCGGACACACAGTGCCAAAAAGCCATACACATGTATGGAATGTGGCAAAGCCTTTAAGTTTCCCACATGTGTTAACCTTCACATGTGAATCCACACTGGAGAAAAACCCTATGAATGTAAGCAATGTGGGAAATCGTTCAATTATTCCAATTCATTTCAATTGCACAAAAGGACTTACACTGGGGAGAAACTTTATGAATGTAAGGAGTGTGGGAAAGCCTTCAGTTCTTCAAGTTCCTTTAGAAATAATGAAAGAAGGCATGCAGATGAGAAACTATCAGTGTAAGGAGTGTGGAAAAGCTGAAAGGTGTCCCCATTCACTTCTGAAACATGAAATAACTCAAAGAGGAGAAACCATGTGAATGTAAGGAATGTAGAAGCACCTTCACTTATACCTCAGGTCATGGTGAAAATGTATGAATTCACAGTGGAGAAGACCCTATGTCAGCAGGGAATGAGGAAGCGACTTCACTAATTCCTCAAGCCTTATCTTGCACATCAGAAATCTTGGTGGAGAAACTCTGTGAATGTAGAGAATCCAAGGATTCTACATCCTTTCCTAATCCTACAAATTTTAATATGCATATATGAACTTACATTAGAGGAAAAAAACCCTATTAATTTTAATGGTATGGTGCAAATGACCCCACTACCTATCCAAAGTCATATTTAGAATCTCTGACCCGTATTTTTATAGTGTAACTGTATTTGGACATAAGGCTTTAAAAGAGATAAGTAACTTCAAATGAGGCTGTTAGGGTTGATTCCTAATTCAGGATCACTGGTGTTCCTATTAGAATAGAACATGAAGGAAAGATGTACACACAAAGAAGCCCCTGTGAACCCACCAGAAGGTGGCCCTCTGCAAGCCAGGAACAGAGGCCTGAAACAGATGTTTCTGTTCTGGCATCTAGAGGAAATCAACCCTGACCGCCATCTTGATATTGAACTTCAAGAATTGTATGCCAATAAATTTTTCTTGGTTAAGTCAAAAAAAAAAAAAAAGGATTATAACCAGAAGACTTAATGTTGACCAAATAGTGACCAATTTCTCAATATTATTTGCTTCTTCTTTAGCTGTTTATATATTTTAATGAAAAGCCTCAGGTTTTGTTTAAATTATACTGTATTCATCAGTTGCATTACTCTGAACAAGGTATTTAACTTCTCTGGGCCTCCATTTCTCATAAGCTAAATAGAAATAATAACAGCCTCTACTTCACAAGATAATGATAAGCATTAACTCAGCTGACATGTGTATGTGTTCAGAGAGGCACCTGGTACATAATGAACACTCAAAGCATGCTGTTGTTTGTTGCTATTGTTGTTCACAGAAGGAAAGGACCCCAAGAAATCAAATATCTGGCTTGTAAGTATCCCCTTTTCACTTGCTGATATGACCAGTGGAAAATATTAATTGGAACTGCCTGAAATCTAAACTTAGAGATGAAGAAAAAGTGATAGCTCACAGATTCCAAAACAACATTCTATTCCAAAATAAGTCCAATGGACTGTATTGTGGTCCCATTGTGTTCAATACACACACACACATATATATGTATATATATTCATATATATATATATATATAGTTTTTTTTTTTTTTTGAGACAGGGTTTCACTCTGTTGCCCTGCATGAAGTGCCATGTCATGGAGTCATAGCTCATAGCAACCTCAAACTCTTGGGCTTAAGCCATCCTCTTGCCTCAGCCTCCCAAAAGCAGGAATTAAATGCAGCATCCAGAATATTTGGAAAAAACGAACACAAGAAAAAACATCCTTGAAGAGTGGGATTCTGTCTAGCCAATCTTTGGCAAAATAGTTAACTAATTACACCTTCAAATTCAGAGCCACATTCAGGATTACACCAAAGAACACTTTATTTATTCTGATGAAACAATCCTTCCATGAATGCCGCATTGAGTATTTTCTTAGTGGAGTCACCTACTGTGTTTTTTCCACTGCATACCTATTTGTCCTACTGACAATTTCACCAATAAGATCATCTGAGAAAAAGAGCTGAAATTATTCCAGTTCAGTTTTTGACCAAGCACTTTGAGGAAAGGTGAATCCCTATTGTGTGATAGAATACAAGAACATTATAAGATCCCCATCACCATTGCAATAAACCTTTCACCTATTTGATACAGGTTAAGTATTATCATCATCGTCTTCATCACTAGCTTCAGATTCACTGAAACTAATATCATTGCATATAGGAAGAGTTTCTTCATGCTCATGTTCATCATCAAACTATCCTTCAACCTCATTGTCCTCAAAAATTCACATTGCAATATCATCATCAATTATATGCCTTCTCCCTGCCATTTTTCTCCAAGCACAACTGCATAAATATAATGCATGCTCACCTGTTTGCATCAAAACACACGGGCTGCCAAGAAATAGAAAGAGTACAATTTGCTCTGTTCGGTACAATTGATATTACATGAGGAAATGTGTCAAACAGACTCAAACAGCAAAACAAATGCAAAAAATCTGATATTGGAACAAAATAGGAAAATCATTTTATTGGGCAAGGTCTGACATGGGATGGGAAAGGGTTTAATTTATAATCTTTCTGTATTTTCAATGAAGGCCTTTAAATCTATGAACTTTCCCCTTATGACAGCTTTTGCTGTGTCTTATAGATTTTAATAGTTTGCGTCCCCTTTGTCATTCAGTTCAAAGAATCTTATTTCCATCTTCATTTCATTCTTGTTTCAACAATCATTGAAAACCAGATTGCTTAATTTCAATGGCTTTGTTTATGTTTATGTATTTCTCTTTTGATTGATTTCCAGTTTTTTTCCACTGTGGCCTAAGTAGGTACATGATATGATTTTACTTCTTTGAATTTGTTGAAACCTGTTTTGTAGCCTAACATATCATTAGTCTTGGAGAGTGTCCCGTGTGCTGCTGAAAAGAATGTATGTTCTGTAGTTTTTGAGTATAATATTCTGTAAATGTCTGTTAGGTCTATTTGATTTAGGGCTTGGTTTAAGTCCATTGTTTATTTATTTTCTGCTTTGATGATTTGTGGAGTTCTGACAGTGGGGTACTGAGGTCCCCAGCAATTACAGTGGTGCCATTTGTTTCTTTGCTTAGCCATAGTAAAATTTGCTTTATGTATCTGGAATCTCCTGTCTTGGGCACATAGACTTTCAGAATTTTTATGTCTTTTTGTTGTATTGCTCTCTTCAGCACTATATAATGATCCTCTTTGCCTTTCTATATCTTTGTTGGCTTAAAGTCAGTTTTACCTGATATTAAAATGGTTACACCTGGCTCGGCGCCTGTGGCTCAAGCAGCTAAAGCACCAGCCACATACACCTAAGGTGGCGGGTTCGAATC